CCCCACTTACGCCCCACGCACCCCCAGAGCCTCTCTGCCTGCGCCCCCGTTGCCGGGCGCTAACGACAGCGGTGAAGTCCCACCCCCGCGGCCCCCCAAGTCCCCGTGCTTCCAGGCCCACCCCCCCGAGCCCAGCGCGCAGGCCTTGCCAGTGCCACCTGCCCTTCCGGGGTCTCAGACGTTCCTGCCGAAGAAGAGGCCCGGCCGGGGCCCCGGTAAGCACCCCTGTTCTTGTCCAGGGGGGCCGCACCACAGGATCATCTGGCTGTTGGGAGGTGCTAGGGACACAGCCAGAGGCCTGCTACTGTGGGCCACTTGGGAGCACCTCGGGACGTCTTACTCTTGGGATTTTGTTCTAGAACACACCTGTTCAGTGCCCCTGTGGAGCACAATGAAAACGTGTTGTGTGGGACTTTATGCTGGAGGTATTCAGGTTAGAGACAGGAAACCAAGGGTGAGGGAGGTCGCAAGACTTGTCCGAGATCGTGCAGACAACACGCCGGGGCTTCTGGCCTTCATCACCTCGCCATTACTAGCTGTGTGACCCAGGGCAATCACTTAGGCTCTCTGTGCTTCCTTCTCCCCTGTGAAGTGGGGATAGCAATCATTCCCCCTCATGCGGTTGTTGGAACAGTGAGATCCAGAGAAGGGTTATTTATTTTTACTATCACCATTCAGACTTCAAATCTACTCCCAGGGGTCGAGGTGTCTGTGGGTGCAGTTGTTGCCAGAACCCGCTCTCCTGTTTAATTTTTGCCTAAGTTATTATAGTCTGGCACCTGGCCAGAATCTTCACTGGTCCTCGGCAGATTAGCTTAGCATTTTGCCATATTTTTGGCAGGTTCTCCAGCTGACTCAGGAAAACGGAGGGTCCATATTTTCAGCCAAACATTAAAAATTATCCCTTAACGTATTCAGCAGAGATCATTCTGGATTGAATATACAGGCCCTATGACTGTGATTTCCATGAAGTGATGAGGCTTCGATCACCTTTAGTGTCCTTCTAAACGGAAAGCACGCTACACATCCACACACACCCGTGTACACACACACACACACACACACACACACACACACTCATAAACATATGCACACACTCATGAACACCCACATCCACACACACAGCCCAACACACATCCACAGTTATACATACACACACATACTCTTTGGTTTTTCAGAAAATCTTTTGATGCAGAAAGTTTCTTAAATGTATGCCCTTGAATTAAAAATAATACAAGCTCATTGTAGAGAAAATAGAAAAAAATTGAAATCATGCATAATAACATCACTCAGAAATAAAAACTGTCACATTTGGATTTGTTTCCTTTCTCTTTTTTCTGAATATATCTACGTATTTACAGGGTTAATACTATTTTGTATATACTATTTTCTATTCTATTTTTATTTAGCATTATATTAAAAGCAATTCTGAATACACAACTATATATAAAATAGATAATCAACAAGGATCTACTGTATAGCACAGGGAACTCTACTCAATATTCTGTAATAACCTATATGGGAAATCTGAAAAAGAAGGGATATATGTAAATGTATAACTGAATCACTTTGCTGTACACCTGAAACTAACACAACATTGTAAATCAACTATACTCTAATATAAAATAAAAATTAAATTTAAAAAAAAGCAATTTTGATATAATTAGATATGTGTCAAATTGTTAAATGTATCTGTAAGCATATTAATATGATCGTTGATATATACCATATTTCCAGCATTAGATATTTAAGTTGATTCCATTTTTTGTTATTATGAATAATATTGCAGGAAATACATTTATAGCAATTGTAGTCTACATTTTGGATTATTTTTTTTAAAGACAGGTTCCTGCAAGGGAATTCCTGATACAAAAAGCAAGAATATTTTTAAGGCTTTTGGTCACAAGAGATAAGGTTTTAATCATTCTCTTTTCAGCTGACTAATCACCATAGGGTCCAGCATTAGTACTCATGAGCCCCTTCTCATGCTTGTGATTCTTAAATGTTCAAGATGTGGTGAAAAAAAAACCAATGCTTTAGATTCAGAAAGATCTGAATTCAAATCCTGCCTTCCCACCCACTCCTGTGTAACCTTAGGCCAGTCTTTTTTAATGCCCTTAAACCTTGCTTATTTCTAATTTGACAAATGGAAATGATAACAATAAAACACCTTTCACATAGGACTGTTATGAATACTAATGAGGAAGCGTGCCTGAAGTGCCTGAAGTGCTTTGCAAGGAGCCTGGGCTCAGCAGCGTGATTTCCTTTCCTTCCCTCTAACCAAGTGCAGGGGCAGCTTTTCACCCAGAAGAGGGGTCAGCAGCCCCTGAGCCTCTTTAGTCTGCTTGTGGGAGCAAGTAAATCCTAGTGGATTCTGGTACAGAGGAAGGGAAGACCAGCAAGGGAAAGGAAGGGGACTGGGAAAGGAGAAAGGCAGAGAGCGGAGCTGAGAGGGGAGGTGCTCTGATGGCCTTTGGGAAGGAGAAAAGCTGCAGCGGCCGAGTGCCTTTGCAGGCTCCAGAGCTGCACACCCGAGGCCAGGAGTGGGTGTTCGTCTGGCCCCTTTCACTGCGTCTTTGGACGTGAAACTTGGTTTTCCGTGAACAACGTGAGGGTAATTTCTGCTTCAGGCCAACTGCAGGGGAGAGCAAGAGGTTGCAATTGTGAACATCTTGGCACAGATGATAAAGGAGCAGTTGTCATCACTTCAAGAGCGAAGTGGAGAGTCAAGTACCTGGGTTGATGTGCCAAGGCAGCGGGTTATTAATTGCCAAATGGGTCATACAAAAAAGTCTTGGCAAAGGAGAGTGAGCCTCCCACAGAGGTCATCAGGGAAGAATTGATGAAGTAGGTGAGATCTGAGTTGGGCCCTGGTGGACAGGTAGGGTTTAGATTGACTGGAAGGAGAAAAGAGGGTCTGCAGGGCAGGAGGACAGCGTGAGCAGACCCAGGGGCAGGAGCAAGCCCCCGACAGCTTGTTCATCTAGCCCCGCTCTGAGCCTCACCTGCACACAGTCCTTCCCTTGCATAGGACTCTGCAGTGGGTCCACTTCTTTGGGCTGTACCATCTGATGATGAGGGTTGATATTGTCACAGCAGCTAATATTTATTGAATGCTTCCTACATGCCACTTGAATTTTTTTCTTTTTTTATTGGAGTATAGGTGCTTTATAATAATGTGTTAGTTTATACTGTACAGTAAAGTGAATCAGCTATACATGTACATATATCCCCTCTTTTTTGGATTTCCTTCCCATTTAGTTCACCACAGAGCATCGAGTAGAGTTCCCTGTGCTATACAGTAGGTTCTCGTTAGTTATCTATTTTTACATGTGACTTGAATTAAATCAACTCACTTAACCCTCTCAACAAACCCAGGAGGTATGTATATTATTATTCCCATTTTATAGATGAGGAAACTGAGGCACAAAGAGGTTGTGTTATTATCCCAGCAGGAGAACTGGGGTTCAGTCCCAAGCAGCTTGCCTCCAGAGGCTGCCTTTTTATCACCGTATCATATTATATCCAAAGATCTCAATACCTCACCTCTCACAGAAGGTAATAGCATCCATCATGCCCTATCTGAAGGCCTGTTATCTGAATAAACTGTCCTCTTCTCTGTCAGTAACCAGTGGGGGAAAGCTGAACCCGCCCCCAGCACCCCCCGCGAGGTCACCCACCACGGAGCTTTCAAGCAGGAGCCAGCAGGCCCCAGCCTGGACCCTGACCCAGCAGCCTGGAGGTCAGCTGCGGAACGGAAGCCTGCACATCATTGGTGAGCGGGGCTGTCAGTGAGGAAATGGTTTCCCCTGGCTCAGGGATGGAGGTGGGGGGGCGGTCTCCCAGCCCACAGTGCTGTCATTTCAGGGTGTGTGCTTCACAAGAACAGGGGGCTCACTCTAGCACAGAGCAATCTACAGGTTGTGTTAAATAGGGTTTCTCTTGAGGCTTTCTGGGAGGTTGCAGAACCCACTCTCCAACCTTCTTGAGATGAGAGGGAAGAAAACCAACATTTAAGCTGTGTGTGTGTGTGTGTGTGTGTGTGTGTGTGTGTGTGTGTGTGTGTGTGTGTGTGTG